AGAGAGAGAGAGAGAGAGAGAGAGAGAGAGAGAGAGAGAGAGAGAGAGAATTAAATGCAATGAAAAATAAAACAAAGTAGCTTGTAAAGGGAAATTATTTTGTTATAGGAACCTGGGTAACCTTGCAAACGAGTAGTAGTTGATCCCATTTTGAGGAAACAGGCTGTTCGTTTCTATTGGCATGAGTCAGGGCCTTTAGGAAGGTACTAAGACCAGTATTTAGATTTTACAAACTATGAGTTAACTCTTGTAGCAAAGTAAAGATATTTGATTAGTTGTCTGTTACCCTGAAAATGCAAAAATATTATCTTGTAGATGGCAATATTTGGCTCAGGTTCATCATGTCTTGGGCAGACTGAGGAAATGTGTACAAGACACGTAAATAGTGAGGTTCATACTGGTTTGTTGTTTTCTGATGGTCAGGACATGGGGATGTAAGGCCTGTGTTTTGTTTGATAGAGTGAGTACTGTAACTGAGCCACTCCCTCCAGCTGGGCTGCTTACTGTTGAGCAGCCCAGCTGGAGCGTGAGGTGACTAGAGACCCTTTGTCATCTGATGTTACCATTGGCTTCTTAGTCGGTCTCAGTGTGTGTATGTAGGGACATAATGCTAAAATCTGCCACATTCCCAGAAAATCAGATTAGCTGCCAAATAATGAGATTCTGAATGAAATGTCAATTTGTTTCCCAATCTAGGCTTAAAACAACAAAGATGTTGTCTGCTATCAAAAAAAACAACAACATAAAACAAAAACCAGTCCTTATATGTAACATGATCAATGCAATTTCTCATAATTTTTCTTTTATCCTTAGAAAATTTTAAGGAAGGTAGAGTATCATCAGCTTCCTGTTTCAGAGATGAAACCTTCATCCTATGGATGAAAGATTTTTGTTTTCCTAACATAATGGAACTAGTGATATTTAAGTAGACATGAAAGCTAGTCTGAGGAGAAGCAGGAGGGAACTGGAATTCTCTGGAGTCAGGTTTTCATAACACATTATTCCTTCACTGGAACAGTTTTGGTGCTTCTAAGCTAAAGCTCCAGGAAGAAGATTCGTCACAGCCTTTATCCATCTCGAGTGTACGTAAGAGTGGCGTGCGCCATGGAAAACGGCTGCCAGGTATCACCAACTTGGAAAGTTATTGAGTAGGGGAGCTCGTTACCAGCCTGGGAAAACATTTTCCACCTTTAAAAATGCAGTGTGGACTATAGCTATGATTTACTGAAATGGTTTTATTTTCTGTGCATGTGTTCTGCTCCAAATGTCATACTTCTGTAGTATTTGGACTTACTCTAATACTCTGAGAAGAAGTGTACTTTACAAAATCTTGTAATATACAAAACCACTATACGGCTAAAGTCTTACAAACCAAAAAGGGAACACCGTGGTGTCTCAGAATTTTACACCTACTATTCCCTCATCCTTACTGATCATTAATGATAAGTGCAAAAGCGATTTGAGAACGTATTCAAAGCAAGTAGTCAATCAGTGTTTTAAACATCATAGGAATACTTTGTATTCAGAGGTCATATAAATCAAAGCAACAATTTTTTTTAAACAAAACATAGTAACTGTCACAAAAGCGATGGAACAAGCCCAGGAACAAACAATAATTTGAGCAGCTCTGTGGGTAATGAGAAAGGAACTGTTTCATTAACAACTCACTAGAGTACGGTTTCTCAATGTTGGAGGACAGCAGAGTTCCTGAGCCCCCTGGCTGTAAGGATGTCTACCTCACAGAGTCTGTGCAGAGGAGCAGAGACTTCTTACAAATTTTGTGATTTGGAGAGTTTGTTCAGCATTTATTCTTTGGAATAAAAATAGTTTGAAAGTTTTTAATGTGTTATGTTTCTATTTCTTTGTTTACTTTAAAATTTACAAGTTTTGAAAGACCACTGACTGACATGTAACATTCACAGTGGCGTTTAAATATTTTGCGTATTAATATTTTACTTTTTACTATGGCCCATATATTATACATTTGTATGTATGTGTATATATACATATGTATATATATTTGTCTGTATATGTGTGTACATATGTGTGTGAATATATATATTATATATAATACGTGTGTGTGTGTATATATATATATATATATATATATATATATATTCATTCCTTTATGGAGCTATGTCCAAAATAATATATACTTCATTGTAGTTTCTTTACTCGGTGTTAATTTAGGCTGAATTCCAGAAGGGAAATTTCCCCTTTTTCATCTTTATAGGTTAGAATATGATGTTTTTACACATCTGTACATTGTACATTTATAAACTTAGGCGATGAACACTATCTCTCAGCTGAATCCAGAAAATCTAGGTCCAGTCCTAGGACCACAGAAGTCGATACCTTTGACTGAAAAGATTGATCAGTGGTTATTTAAGAACACTGGCTGCTCTTTTAGAGGACCCAGGTTCAATTCCCATCCACATGGTAGCTGACAACCCTCTCCAGCCCCAGAGTATCTGTTACCCTCTTCTGGCTTGTGTAGGTACACAGACATACATGCAGTCAAAACCCCTACATATAAAAATAAAGTTCAGAAAAATTAAAAATAGAAGGTGCCTCCTAGAGAAAGAAAGGCTATATTGTAAGTCAAGAATCTTGTAATGGTTGCTGGACAGTAGTAGTACCTATGTCTTTTCCTTCCAATATATGATTACTTCATAGGTATCAAATACATTTGTTCTTGAATGGAAAAAACAGGTTATAATCTGAAACATCTCTTTTGTTTTTGTTTTTTTATAAAGGGTCTCTGTCTCAAAACCAGGATGGCTTTGAACTCACCTGCCTCATTCTCCTCTCTCAAGTACTGATATTAAGAGCATGCACCATCACACCTTGTTTGAAACATCTTTTTGATAAGAACACTCAAAAATCTTTTTCCAGATAAATCTGGTAAAAATTAACTATAATTGTTCTGTATGAGCATCAATGATCTTGTTACCTTCAGCCTCTAGCATCCAATAACTGCCTTACAGTAGTTTCTTTACCACTGCTGGCCATCCAGTATCACAATCAAATTAACTTTGAATTCACTTTGTTTGGTGTGGTGGTTTGAATATGCTTGGCCCAGGGAGTGACACTAGTTGTGGCCTTGTTGGAAGCGTGTCACTTTGGGGTGGGCTTTGAGAACTTCCTCCTAGCTGCCTCCTGATGCCAGTTTTCTCCTGGCTGCCTTCCAATCAATATGGAGAACTCTTGTCTCCTTCTTCACCACTGTATCTGCCTGGATGCTGCCATGTTTTCTGACATGATGATAAATGGACTGAACCTCTAAACCTATAAGCCAGCCCCAATTAAATGTCCCACAGAAGAGGTACATTGGTCATGGTGTGTCTTCATGGAAACAGAAGTTGGTACCATGAGTGGGTTATTGATGTGCTAGGCCTGACCATGCTTTTGTTTGGAGGAATATGGACTTTGGGACACTGGAATGTTGGTGTGATAGGCCTGGTCATGTTTTTGTTTGGAGGAATGTGAATTTTGGGACTTTAGATTTAGAAAGCTATAGGATGCTTTAAGTGGGATTTAATGGGATTGAATTCTAGTAGGAATATGGAAGACAGTGGTGCTGAGGGTGATTTGAATTTTGGAGCTCGTTCTTATATTTTGATGAAGATGAAGAAGTGGCTGCTTTTTGCCCTTGTTTGAAAAGTCTACCTGAGGCTAAGACAAAGGAGATTTCTATTAGTTACACTGACAAGGGAAGTCTCAGAAAAGTCCAGCATAGACTCTGTCCTCTCATTTACTCTCATGAAGAACATTTTGATTAATCATAACAAGCTTAGAAAGGAAAAACAGGAAACGTATGGTTCAAGTAATACAAGAGCACCAGGAAGTACAGTGGAGCTGAATGGTGTGTTTGAGGAGATAACTAGATTAAGGGAGTGGTGACTTAGGGGTAAGATCCCACCCAGCTAAGCTTATTGTTTATTCATTTGCAGTTGAATAAGAAATAGCTCTATCATGCTAGGCATAATTATTACTTGATTGTTGTTTTCATTTGGACTTTTAATCTGGAATGAATTCTAATCCAAATTAAAATGAATAGAAATGAAAGGCAAACCTGTGATCCAGATCTTGAGGCATAGTGGCCATGAAAATCTTAGGCCCAGTCATAGTGGTATGCACCTTTAATCCCAGGAGACAATATTTTAGTTTTTTTTTGACTGGTTTCTTTAGACATTTATTTTGTGTGTAGTGGTGGGGTGGGGGACATGTGTTTGGAGGTCATAGAACAACTTGAGAGAATTAAAATTCTCCCCTTCCACCATGTGAATCCTGGGATTGTGGCAATGAACTGCTGTGCCCAGTTCTTAATCAGAATCTCTTTAGAACTGGGCTTGGCTGACCATTCATTCCCCAGGCTAATACACATCTTTCATTCAAGTTTTGCTGATCCGATTTCAGTTTGTCTATTCAGAAAGTCATTCTCTCCTCTCCTGGCTAGCTCAACCTTGAGAATAATTCAATCTTCAAATCTAAGCCTTTTAAGACAATTGCTGATGCATGTGCAGCATCAGATATAATATAAGATCCTGTGTAGCCGGGCGGTGGTGCCGCACGCCTTTAATCCCAGCATTTGGGAGGCAGAGGCAGGCAGATTTCTGAGTTCGAGAGTTTGAGGCTAGCCTGGTCTACAGAGTGAGTTCCAGGACAGCCAGGGCTACACAGAGAAACCCTGTCTCGAAAAACCAAAACCAAAACCAAAAAAAAGATCCTGTGTAAAAGATACCCAGTTTCATCCAGTGGTAATGTCTTAGAAAACTACTGTACAATAATTGGTGTTAGCAGCTAATATTTAATCAGAACCAAGATACTGGTTCTTTTACAGTGAAGATACTGGAACTTTTACAGGGTTTTATCACAAAGGTTCTTCATGTTGCCTGTTTTCACTCACACTTTTCCTCCCTACCTGCAGAAAAATCACTAATATGCTCTCCTTTCTATCATTTTGCCATTTTCAAGAATGTTACAATAGTCAGGCATGGTGGTGTACCCCTTCAGTTCTAGCACTCAGGACAGAGAGGGAGGTAGATTTCTGAGTTCAAGGCCAGCTAGGTATGTACACAGCGAGACCCTGTCTTGAAGGGTAGTAGAGGGATTGTCATAAAAAAAAAATAATTACTATAAATATATAAGGAAAACAAGGTATAAATTTAAACAAGCCTGTACTTTATTACTTATTGCCTGGCCTTCTTTGTGTATTTAAATTGTATCTTGGATAACACATTTTCTGATTTTGCATCCCCATGTATGCAGTAGCATTCTTTGCCCTACCCCAGCTCCAAACATTGAATGTACTCTAGCTCCCTCCATAATCCATATGGGCCAAAGTCCATAAACCTGGGACTCATTAAACATTAAGGCTTAAGAAATCTCTAGTCAGGTCAATAAGTTTTAGGGCCTTCCAGCAGGGTGCTTTCATGACATTAATGTTGGCTTTATACATTCAGTCCTTAACTTGGGTCTTACCAGCCACTGTCATCCTTATTTGGGTCTTGATATATCCTTCCCATATCCCTAAATGAGTGCCATGAGAAAAGCATGCTATCTAGATCAGGAACATGCTTCTAATCACTCTGGAGGAGGATTACTGCAAGTTTGAGCCAGTCTGGGCTATAGAGTGAGACCTTACCTCAAAATACAACCTAATTATCTGGTCAGAGTCCCTAATGCAGACTTTATTCTTTGAGACTATAGTTCTTTCTGGCCTCAAGCTCAGCATGTAGGTTAGGTGGACTGGATTGCTGATTCTCTCCAGCTCCTATGAGCTGGGATTACAGCACCACCATGCTTGGCATCCTCAGGGTAGTCTTTTAGAGAATATATGACATGATGTAGAAGATTAAGAGATATATGTAGGGAAAATATTGTGTCTATGTTGTTGCATGCAAGCCACTGTGTACTTGTGGAGGTTAGAGGACAAATTACAGCAGTCATTTCTTCCCCTCCTACCATGTGGGAGCTGGGGATTGAATTAAGGTCATTAAGGCTAGGTGGCAAATGTCCTTTACTTGCTGAGCCATCTTTCTTGCTCCAAGAAATTTTTTAAGATCACTGATATCTTTAATTAGCTTACGTATTATGCTTGGAATCAAACATAGGGCCTTGTCTATACTAAGCAAGCACCAGACTACATCTTCAACCCAGTTAGTTTAAAAACACAATTTAAAGGGGAAAAAATAGCTCATCAGAAAAATAGTAACCTCTGTCAGCTGCATCCCGGAAAGAACAGAGCTGATGCTAAGCTATACAAATGTGACCTTTAGCAGAGAGAATATACTTGGCTTTCTAGTAAACTACTAACACCAAACTGTCAGTTAAGATTAGAGTCTGGGTATCTATCAATGGCCAGTATAAAATGTTAGACTGACCTTTTTCCTTTTCCTTATTTTTGGTGGTAGAGTCCTGGAGATAAAACCAAGGCCTGTACAGTTAGGCAAGTATTCTACCTTGAAGCCTAATCTGACATCTAACAACTTTAATTTACTCTCTATGGTTTGGAATGCACACGAGGGTCATTTGGTAGGCAAAATGGCAGTTAAAATCAAAGTGGCCATGGTCATGCCGGATCCTTAAAATACAACATTGTTCATGTTTGTGTATAAAATATGCACTAATTTTGTAGGGATTCAGAGCCTATTTGTGAATCCTACATTAAAGTTTCTTTTCAATTTAGTACTACAGCTTTTTTCCCATTGAAAAGTATGGTCTGGAAAGCCTGAATGCTGTACCAAAAAGATCCTAGAGACTGGAGAGGTAGCTCAGTTATCAAGGGTGCTTTCTGCTGCTACCACCTACACAGTGATTCCCAAGGGTCTGTCACCCATTCCAAGGGATCTCATGCCTTCTTCTGGCCTGCGTGGGCACCTCCATGCATGTGTGCACATAAGCTTATGCACACATGTGCACAGACACACACAATCATTCGAGTTCTTTAGCTCAGGGTGAGTGTGCCAGCATGTCTGGGTTCTGGTATCAGCCGCCTTCTTGCTGTATTCTCACATGGATGAGAACGAACACTCCTGTCTCTTACAAGGACCCTAATAATTCCCTTCCATCCCACCTCTACCTACCATAATAGAGGTTAGGCTTCAGTGTGGAGATCTCAGACACAGTTAGTCCACAGCAGGTTTGTAGGAAGCCACATGGCTCTTTTTGTCTTGTAAGATACCCTTGTATGTCTACAATTAGTGACAAAACATGCTTTGTTAATAAAGTGCATTTCAAATGCAATATTTTCATTTTATATATTTGAATTCAAGATCTTTTTTCTTGTTTTCTGAGACAAAGTTTTTCTGTGTAACCCTAGCTGTCCTAGAACTTGCTTTGTAGACTAGATTAGCCTGGGACAGAGATTCATCAGCCTCTACCTCCTGAGTGCAGGGATTCAAGGCATAAGGCACCACCACCTGGACTAAGAATTTCATACATGTAAAAACATTTTTGAGACAGTGTTTCACTATGTAGACTGGCTTCAACTTCACAATCCCCTTCCTTTACAGGGATGCCACACCACCACCGATTTAAACTCCTGCTTATCACGTAAGGAATCGGCTTTTCAAAACTCTCCCTTACATGGTGTTCTATCAGCAAGTGAAGGAATTTTTGGCCTTTCAAGACGTTACAGTTAAAATTAGTCTCATATTTGTTCCCTTAAATAGCCAGAATATTACAGCTAAGGCTTAATCTTTGATATCTATTGAAACATCAAAGAGACCAAATGAGTATATAAACATTTATTGTTCCTTTAGGAGTACAGTGTTGCATTTTTGTACAGCCCTTATTAATAAGCTTTTTTAGTTAGTATAATCACCAAAAATCATATAAACTGCATTACCACTGGGATCTTGGGTCTGGGCTCCTGTCAGCTTCCTATCCCTTCATCTTTGCCACCTCTCCCTCCCCAAAAAAGGAAGAAAGAGACGAGGCACAACAGCGTAGAGTAGATGAGAAGATAAGTGCTTTATTGCAGAGTAAAGTAGAGCACAGTCCCAAGAGTGGACGACGGCCAAAGGGGCCATTGTACCGATCTATGTTTTAGGTAAGATTTACCCATTTCTGAAACAAACCGGTCTCCTGAGAGTCTTTGTCTTGTCTAGGTGGTTGACGGGCCTGTCTGGTTTGACTCTTACGTGAGAGCAATGGTACATCTTCATTCTTCATCAGAAAGCCAACTACAACACAGTCATTTAACATGTACGGTTCCCGGAGACAGACTGATTTAATTATATGTTAATAACCTTACAGGCAGACCAGCATGTCACATCTCCCCTCCCAGCGCCAGAGGTAGGACTTGGGTCCCAATCTTGTAGATAATATTTGATCTTGCAGTTCCACTCTTCGGTTTACAGCCTGTTTATTATTAATAAAAACCTCGAGTTTGATCAAGTCTGCTAATATCTAGCCATATAGAACCATCAATGAGTTATAAACATACTGGCCAGCACCCCTGTTAATAGCATCTTTCTGTCCAAGTAGCCACTCCTGGAATGTAGTTTCATCTACATATTTTTAAACATTTTCTTTTTTGTCTGACTTCTTGACCACTATGTATGTAGGAGTCATCCATTATAGCTTCTAGCATTTTTGAGGGTCTCATAATTCAGGCTGGTCTTGTATTGATATGTAGACAAGGCCGACCTTGAACTTTCGATCCTCCAGTCTCCCCCTCCTGAGTGCTAGGATGACCAGTGTGTCATCATGCCCAGTTTTAAGTGCATGCAAGGTGAGCACTACCAATTGAGCAACACAGCTAGCCCATGGCCTCATTGTTTTGATTGCTATTGATTGTGGACTATGCCACATGTATTGACTGAACTGTTAATGGATAATTGGTTTATTTTCACCAACCTTTTCAAAATGTTGGGACCTGAATGTGCAGGCCTTTAATTAGGAGGCAGAGATACATCTCTCTTAAGTTCAAGGCTAGCCTGGTCTATATGATGAGTTCCAGACCAGCCAGGGGTACAAAGTGAGTGGTCTCAAAAAAGAAAGGGGAGAAAAAAAGTGAATTTTTGTGGTCTGTGCTGTTGCCTGAATCCATGTTGATATCGGTGCTCTGGGCAGCCACCAGGACCATACTCTTACAAGTGGCCTACACTAGAGGCTATAGCAGGTCTGTGCTGCCATGGAGGGCCATGTCTGGGTCCATGGTCCTACTGTGCTGGGGTCTACATTTATGTCCATAGTCTGTGCTGCTACCTCTAGCCATGTTGATGTCTGTGGGCTGCACTGCTGCTGGGGCCATATCGGTGCGAGTGGCCTGTGCTGCCACCTGAGGCTGAGGCCATGGTGATGTGTGGTCTGAGCTGCCTCTGAGGGCCTTGTCTGTTGTCTGTGGTCCTACTTCGGTCAGTAGCCCTGTCCATAGTCTGTCGCCACAAACCAAGCGGAGGCTCAGGATCCATGCCCCTGTATCGATGACTGCACACAGTTTAGAGAGAGGGGCATGGAAGGCTTCTGTGACCACCCCAGTCCCCATTCCAAAAGAAAACCAGTCTAGACAGGAAACCATCGAAGAGAACTCAGGATACTGAAGTGTAACTCTCTACAACTGATGGCTTCTGGAGTGTGTGCAGGGAGTGATAGAGTCAGTCCTATTTACAGAGCAGGTCACTGCGAGTTTGACCATGCTATAATGAGTAGATAGATTACAAAAATTGGGCTTTTTAAATTTTTTAAAAAAATTATTATCTTTATTTTTACTTTTTCAGGGGGTCACAAGCGTGGGAGGGAAGACACGGAAGGACTGAGAAGTGTGAATGAGTGAATGATGTGAAATGCCCAGAGAATCAATAAAAATGTTATGTTTAAACAAAGGTGAAAGTTACATTTCTATTAAGCTAATACATTTGCAGATCACATAGTGAAAATTTAGGCTAGAAGACTATTTTATAAAGAAAACCACAATGTGTTTAGTTCAAAAGATATTTTTAACTTTACAATTTACTATAATACAATTTACCGTATCTGTAAATTTACCATTTTGAAATTGGCGCAATTAAGGATGATGTCCAGCAAAATAAAAGTATGTATTTCACTTCCAAGTTGTGAACAATAAGAAGACAGAGGATGAATAAGAGAAAAATCCAGCCATGTAACACATACAACAACCTGATGTTTTCCTCTGAATCAGTGACCACAAAACAGGCACTCTAGAGTGATCCTTGTACACTTCCCTAGTGGTTTGCAGTCTTAAGCCTGGAACCAGTGGTAAAGGAAAGTTGGAGCCCTCTCTTGGAGTTCTTAGTCTTATTAACAAAAGAATTAAAGGATGGACTCTAAGGAAGCTAAAGCACAATTTTATTAGAGATTAAAAGAAAAAAAAGTCCAGGGCAAGCCAGCTGTAGAGCTCAGCGGCTGTCTGAAGAGGAGAGGACAATGGTTAAAAACCAACCAACCAAACCCTCTGTACCATGTAAGTTGGTATGAAAGTCAAACACACTGTGGACAAGCAAGCCCATATGTTGGGGACAGAGGCTTTGGAGAAAGTAAGAAAGCCCCAAATGTTAGGGAAATCCCAAGTATTAAGAAAGCATGCTTAGAAAAGAGAGAAAGAAAAGTAGGCAGACTTATGAAGATGGATAGCTACAGCCAAGAATTCTACAGCACCAGGGGCATGGATTCTGTCAAGGTATACAGTACCTCATTCCACCTGTATCTGTCATGTCTTAAGGTGAACCTGCCTTTCTAGGGGTGGGCCCTTGGCCAAGGTAATTGACTGATCTGGTCCAACTGGATGGTTAGGGCTTCACCCAGGCCAGGGAGGATATTGTTTGGACCACAAGTGTTTTCTTAATGGGCCTTTACTGCATTCTCTAACACCACTTTTAACTTTCTCTTCTGACACCCCGAGTCCTACAAACTGCCCCTAGCTTAACATGCTTCCAAGTTTCTATTTTGTTGTGAGTAGTTCTTTCACTTTTGTATTACATACATAGATCTAATGTTCAAGCCAGTTGCTCAATGGAGAACCATGCTCAAACCCCACCCAGTTCTCTCACTCTCCTCTCACTAAGCTGTACTGCCTGCACTACATGCATCTTGTTCTTGCCACTTCTGGCTTTCTGCTACCACCTTCACCCAAGCCACCACTCTTTGCTCATTAACAACAGCCTCTTAATTGGTTTGTCTTTTTGAATTGTTGTCCTTCTGCAACTCTTAAAATAAGTAGAATTACCTTTTTAAAATACTAGTGCCTAAAATGGCTCAGTGGCCACTGAACTCCATACTAATACCCAACTCCTTCAATCTTTACTTCATGCCCTTTTCCTAACTGGGCTCCAACACCAGGGCCTGGACCTCTTCTATTGGCTGTACTTTCAAACACAGGTTGGTGCTGTAGCATATACTCCCAGTGTCTCCTCACCTTCGTCCATTCCATCCTCTAACAATTCAAATATTCGTTTCTTGAATGAGATACCTACTCTAATTAGAGCACGTGGGGAGTTTTCTCGTAATCATCCTTATTCAGGTACCTTAGTATAATTTACCCTCTTATTCTACCTTTCCCTTTATAGACTCTAAGCTCTATGGAGATACATGAAGATGCCTCATTAACACTTCTATATATAACATGCTAGCCCCATTTGGGTGCATAATATATAACAATGAGCACATGAAGAAGTGAGTGATCACTTCCCCCATCGCCCACTTCACATCTCACAGCCCACTCCACCTCAGCGCAGCAGGATTGACTGTTTGATAGGTTCTGACTTTGTATGCCTTGGTTGGCTAGAATTCACTACGACCAGGTTGTCCACAAACTCAGCACAATTCTTGCCTTTCCTTTGTGAAGGCTGAGATTACAAGAGTGTGCTACCAAGCCTGCACTTGCAGAGTATCTTTAAAACTGGATCACCCTTCTGCTTAGAAGCTGACTGTGGAGACAGGCCGTTGCTCAGTACAATAGCCTCAGCATGGTAAACAAGTAAAGCCTATTCTCCATTTTAGAGCAAACTAGCTTACACCGACCTACAGAACTTCTTAGGGTCTCATCTTCCACCTTCCTCTCTAGCCGCATCTCTTACTTGTCCCCTAAGCCGCTGCACTCAGCAACTCTAACACACGCCTGCTTTTCCTCCAACAGGCTGGAGACACCAAGCCTCGGGAGGCGGGCTTCACCATTCCTTATGGTACCAGGTGCAGACTAGGTCCTCAGTTAATTCCCAGCCTTTCAGTAGTTACTTCCTCTGTAGGCCAGTCCTAGCCTCATCTTTAAAAACTGCAACCTCCCACCAACCCTTCTCACATTTCTGTGTGACTCCCCTTCTTCTCACTACAGAACGCTAGCTTAGGAAAATAACTAGTAAGGCAGACTAATACACCACCCATCTTCACTAATATAGCCCCTTAGAAGTACATAACAGATTTTCAATAAATACTTATCAAGCCAGTTGATCTGTTTAGAGTTTAAGGTAATTAAGTAAATTATTTTTAGAGTAGCATCTGTTAACCATATCTTGATTTTTTTTTTCTTTACAGTGGATTAGAGTAGAGAACCTAGTAGCAATACCTTTTAAAATGTTAATACATTACTATTCTGGTGTTCCTAGTATACAGCTACTGCTCTGAAACTAACTTAGGTAGTTTCTAGGTAGGTCCATTTAATTCAACATTTCCTAAATACTTTGTGACAATCAAAGCTGCTGAGGCTACTGGGTTCAGTAAGATGCTGCCAGCCTCAACAGCACCTCAGTTCAGATGAGATACAGAGATATTATAGCACATAATTACAGAGATTAAGTACAGAATTTCACCGGCACAAAAAGGTAATGCCTTACTTAGGGAAGGTAAGGAACGCTTGACAGAAATAATACATAAGATACGTCTTAAGTATAGATTGGAAGGTCAGGGGATGGGCATTCCAGTCCAAGCAAAATAGCCTATTTGAGCAGTTACAGAGGAGCTTAAGGACAAACAGGGGAAGATGGTAAAAACACAGAAGTACCTGCTGCGCAGGCTATAAAGCCACCATAAGTAACTGGGACTTTATTCACTACAGAGGTATGTAGCCTCTGAAGTCTAAGCTTTGTAAGCAAGGAACTGGCAGTGTTTTTATGAGGGACCTAGAAAGCTGGAGACTAGGGCTGACAAGAAGTTGAGGAGACTGTGAGTACTTGAATTCAAGGATGGTGGTGAGAGAATGACCAAGAGGTGCCCTTGCCTGGAGTTCTAGATGGTGTGAACTGCCGTGTGGGTTCTGGGAATCGAACCTGGGTCCTCTGAAAGAGCAACAAGTGTTCTTCTCCCACTGAGTTAAGTCCTAGTTTTGTTTTTGTTTATCTCAGTGATACCAGGGTTTCAGATTTAAGTACTTGGCGAATGCATTAAACCATATATATACATGATGACTCAGAAGGCAAGTCCATGTGTGTCGACGTTAAAAGTGCTAGGAAATGACGCTATGTGGGTTCAAGAGTCGAAGTTCTACAGAGATGGCAGGCATTAAATGGATCCCTGAGACAAGCAATTTTTAAGGGTACAGAAAATAAGTTGATAAGGGAGAATGAGCCCCAGATTCAAAACTACAGAGGATCAAGCATGGAAAATCGCGGCAGCAGTTCGCAATTTTCAGCACAGACACAGCACAAAGGTAACAACGTTCAGAAGTGCTCTTCCGGGCTGGAGAGAGGGCTCAGTGGTTAAGAGCAGACTGCTCTTTCAGAGGTCCTGAGTTTAATCCCCAGCAATCACATGGCTCACAACCATCTGTAAGGGGATCAACGCCCTCTTCTGGTGTGTCTGAAGATAGCAACAGTGTATTCACATACATAAAATAAACTAAAACCAAAAAAAAAGTGCTCCTTCTCAGAAGAAATGAAATGTGTTTTTGTCCTCGTTGTCTAATTAGACGGTCGTCTGGATTCTGAACGTGGACCACTGGTTTATACAAATCACACCTCCGCAGCCGCCCTTTTTAAAAATTACGTGTGATCAGGAACGAGCTTCCCCACGTTCCCTTTAGGCTTTTGCACCCAACAGGCTGCTCTGTTTCAAGCTGCAGCAGAAAACGACGGACAGATTAAACCACAGTCGCGAGGACAAGACCCTACAAGACCGACTGAAGTAAAGCTCCCAAACAAACGCGCCTTCTTCCGGCCAAGGCGCAGAAGACCCACCCACTTCCGCACTGCTGACCACGCCCCAGGGGCACGCCTCGCCCTAGCCAATGGTCAGCTTCCCTGGGAACGTTACCTTCGGCTAATCAGAGCCTGCGAGCGAACTCCTCGCGAGAGGTGAGGTTGAAGCTGCCTCCGCCATCTTGAAGATGGGAGACGGGCGACAGCTGTGGTCTTTCTGCTAAAGCAAACAGCAACAACGGACCGGGTAGTCACCTCCCCATCCCCCACGGTGAGGTAATCTTCCCCGTAACCGCTGACCAAAGCCACCGAAAGCAGCGAGCGTTATCAAAGCCGGGCGCAGCGACACTTGACGGCCCCTTCACCTGCCTCCCGGGCAGAAGGGAAGTGTGGAGGGCCAGAAGGATGGTGCAGTCCTGCTCCGCCTACGGCTGCAAGAACCGGTACGATAAGGACAAGCCCGTCTCCTTCCACAAGTAGGTAACTGGCGTGCTCCGCGGCCGCGGCAGGGGCGCGCGGGCGGGTGGAGGCGGAGCCCGGCGCGTGGCCGCGCGAGACCTGGAGGAGGCGGGGCGGCCGGCGGGCTCGGGCGGCTGAC